GAGCGGAACCCGGCGGGCGTCACCCCCAAACTATTTCTATTTTTGTATTTGCTACCCGATCGCCACCCCTCCTCTAAGTTTGTTTTCCGCTGCTCAGGCCCCGCTTTCTGCCTCTGTCCTGAGCTCTTGGTCTCCCCGAAGACAATCCCCTCGTTCCCAAGCCAGCCCGGTGGGGTCTCCTGCCCTGTCTGTGGGCTCTCAGCTCGGGGTTACTTGCTGAACCACGTGGTGAGAAGCCACAGAGAGAGACCACAACAAAGAGGGGAGTGATGTGCGCTAGTGCTTTGTGTGGGAGGAACAGTCTCCCCAGGTTCCTGATGCTGCTCTTTTCCTTCCATCCTTTCTTTTAAACGAGGGCGAGGGGAGGTGACAATTTTTCCGCTCAGTCTGAGCTTGTTAGAGGCCCTGTCCGAGGAGAGCGCAGTAGAGGTGTGAGGAGAAAGGCCCCAGGGCGAATGGAGAGCGCAGGCGGGTGTAGGTGTGTGGCTGAGGTTGTGGGCTGGCGCGGGGTCCTGCGTGGGCCAAGGTGGGAAGGGGTGGCGGTCCCGCCTGCTCTCTCTGGGCCCGCCTCCGAGCTCTCTCGGTTTGGAATGAAGACAGCTTGTCTGTTTCATGAAAAAAGTAAAGGCGAATGAAGTTGCCACTGCCCGGCCACAGAAGGAAAGAGAAACGAAGGGGAGGGCGAGATGGGCAGATAACTGTCCTGTTTGAAGCAGGTTTTTCCAGCTCAGTTTGCCAGCTACCGGGTTCCACTCAATCAGGGAAATTTTGAATCTCTAGGTATCTATTATCCGGAAGCATTTCCTCAGACACGTCCATGTTCAAACTCTATTCTTCTCACCCTCTCCATTCTTCTCACCCTCTCCCCTCCTCGCTCTCGTTTTCCTCGGGTAAAATGGTTCTTGGCATATTTCTCACGCATGTTTGCTGCGTCTTTGCTTCTGCAAAGTCACTGCTGGGTTCTTGAGACCGGCTTTGCCAAGCCAGGCTACTGGAGGGGTTTCCTTGAACTTGAAGAAAGGCACATCAAAACCCACCAGTGTTAACTGCCACGTCAATTTTGATGCTAATAATGTGCAGATTATGACGAAAATTGCCAATCATGCTCTCTGATGGACCTCCTTTGAATGTGGAATTGGAGAAAAGTTCCCCGCACGGAGACCTGCTGTCAAGTACTAACAACCCGCTAAGGGAAGTCATTAGGAGAGACGGATAAGAGACTCGGTACATAAAACATTGTTCTTGGTGCATAGAATGTATGTTATTTAATGTTATCTCTGTTACCTGAAGTGATTTCGCAGAAGAAAGCCACGTTCTTATCATCTCAATTGCCAATTTTCATTTTGGTAACTTGGACGCCCTGGGTAGACTTTTCTCTGTTAAGTTGATATTCCACCAATGTGAACAGCCTCATTAAATCAAGCCCAGATATTTCCATAATGCTCCCCGCAGAGCCACTTCTCTCCTCACATAATGAGATTTTCTGAAGAGTTGAAGCCCTAAAATAACTTGCTAGTGCATGTTTAGACCCAGGAAGTGGTGTGTGTGTGTGTGTGTGTGTGTGTATTAAAATGTAGGTAGGTTACCTACATATTCGTGTATGTGTGTGTATATATGTGTGTGTACATATATATCCATTCTCTTAAATATACATATGTAAGAGATACACACACATATATACATAAACCCATTGGCATTATTTTGTGTGATTTATTTCAAATTGTGTTCTGACATATTTGTTATTTTAAAGACACTGGACTTAAAAAATTTATTTCCTAAAAAGAGGCTTTCAAGAAAGTTTTGAAAGAATTCACTTTCCAGGAGAAATTATTATTTTCTTCAAATGGAAAATATTTCAAGGGGAAACAGTATTTCGAAACTCCTGGGGTCTATTAAATATTCCCATAAAATGTTAGAGGACTTCCCGATGAAACAGCAATGATCTAAAGCTCAAGTTTTTTTGTTTTCTTTTTTCTTTAAAGAGATGAGACTACTTATGTAAAATATTGATTATACCAGCTCTTACTGAGTTTACATTAAAATAGTAATATATAATTTAAGGCTAACTAAAGTAAACCAAAATACGGTACTCTTTTATCAGCTTTACCTTTGTAGATTGTTAAAGTCCTTTCTTACGATCAGCTATGCGATGTATATAAGGTACTTTAGGAAATAATGTTTACATTCCCACCAAAATATATATGATTGATGAGAACGCTGGTTGATAAAATTAACATAAATTCATCTTATGTTAGGTCCTTTGGATCTGGTTATTATAATAAATAAAAATAAAACTGTAAATAAAGTCTTTGTGCTCTAATATTGCTGGCTGTATGAACTTACTGTAAGATATTTTACAAATGTGCAATAATTATAAAGCTTTGTATATTACGTTATTTATTGTGTTTGGTCATGTAAAATAAATGTTATTTAAATCAAAGCGATTTTATTTGTTTAACAGATTGCAAAACGGTGCGTGCTGGTGTTTGTTTTTAACTGT